AACAAAACTTTCAAGTACTTGATCTAGAATTTATAGCCAAAATATCAAAAGTGAGTCTAAGGATTTCAAACTTTTCAATCAAGGGCACAAACTTCACTTGGGCATTTAATCAAACACCTTGTGGGCATGAACTTTAACACTAGGTTTATGTAAAATTGACATATCAAATTCATCCCACAAGTTCACCACACAACAAAACAAGGGTACCCATCATCAAAAGCAAGGTCTACAATCATCATAGACTAAAATAAGGAATTAAAACTATCAAAACAAAGTGAAGTAGAGCTTAAACAACCAACGAAGAAACTTAGAAAATTAAATCAAAATGTGAGTGCAATGGTTTCTAATGTAGCAATTACAACATGTATATAGCAACAATCAATCATTAGTAATCAACAATGGGCAATTTATCTACCAAAAATTCAAAATCAGGGGAAAAATTCGTGGGTAGGGCGCCTACCCAAGAATAGAGCAAAAATGCACCTCCAAATCAAGAAATTGAAAGTAGAAAAGAGTGATTATTGTTACCTTGCAGCTTTAGGAAGTGAATGGAGAGGAGAACCAGAGGATTCGGACCTGGGGTATCTTGGGCGAGTGAGAGATTGAGAGAAAATTATGAGTTTGGGGAGAAAAACGGACCGCTGGTCGCGATTTAACAGATCCGTTCTGTCGCGTCTCGACGCGTCGAAAATTTCCAGTAGGAAAATTTTCGAGGCGCGTTGGTTTCGACGCGTCGAAAATTTCCAGTAGGAAAGTTTTCGAGGCGCGTTGGTTTCGACGCGTCGAAAATTTCTAGTAGGCTATCCCTTCGAATCAGCGGGAACTCGACGCGTCGAAAAGTTCCAGTATGGAATTTTTCGCCTAGGTCGATTTTTGGCCTTTTTACTTAGCCGAAAACAACCCCTATACCGCTGTTTGACACAGAAACCAGAAAAAACACTCAAATTTTGTAAAACAAACTAGAACTAAATAATTAGCAAGAAATAAAAATGCGATAAATTAAAGGATAACATGGGGTGCCTCCCATGGAGCGCTAAGTTTAACGTCGCTAGCTCGACTGTACCTCCTTTTCAGGTGTCACATGTAGGTCGGGAGATGAAGGCAATGTATCACATTGACCTTAGGTTCCTCGGGTGAGTAGTAGTGCTTCAACCTTTGTCCATTGACCGTGAATTCATCTTGTGTTCCTTGAAGCACCACGGCACCCGATGGATGTACCTTAATCACTTTGTGTGGCCCCGTCCACTTGGATTTTAATTTTCCTGGGAACAATTTCATCCTTGAATTGAATAGAAGGACGTCGTCTCCCGGGACAAATTCTCTCTTTAGAATGTGCTTGTCATGCCACCTCTTGGTCTTCTCCTTGTAGATTTTCGCATTGTCATAAGCTTCGAGTCTATTATGGTCTTTCTTCATCCCAAATAAACTCAAATCCAATGTTGATTGAGTAAAATCCTTATATCAACCCCCTTATCTTTCAGAGCTATTATGGTCTTGATAAGTTGCCTTTTTGCTCCCTTATTCATCATTCGTATTTCTATTCTAAAGATTTAAAGCTATAGATAATTGTGTCATTCTCTCCCTTTGTTATCATTCCTTACCTTTTTTTCCTATAAACCGTGACCCTTAGCCCCATTACAAGCTTAATAAAGACCTATTTGATCTTTACATGCAATGTTAGTTCTATTCAGGAGGAGTAGGAAGGGCAAGCCTAGGATGTTTTTCTGATGTCGTGTTTTGCATAAACCTAACTGAGTACGTGTGCACACTAGATTTCTCACTACTAACAATCTGGGTGCTTGTATGTTGGCTTGGGAGTAGAACGCGGGTGCCAAGCAGAGATGATTCTGGAAGCATGTGTCCTGCAGTGAGTTGGCTTGTGGTTTGCTAAGTTGTGCACGAGAAATTGGGAGCGATCCTTGTGTTTTGACCTGCGGTTTGATTCAGTGTTTTGCTTGAGGACAAGCAAAGTCTTAAGTGTGAGGGGGTGATGTTATCACATCTGTGCATGTTTTTATAGCTTTTCTGATTCATTTTAGAAACAAAGTTATTGAATCATGACCATTTATTACTTGTTTTCCTTGCTTTCTCGTTAGATTATGTTTTTACACTTGTTTTGAATACCTTACAGTGTTCGGTAGTGTTTTTCTTCACCATTACAGGGTGAGCGTGAGAGCAAGGGAAGAATTTCAAGCACGAAATGATCAAAAGAGGAAGAAGTCGAAGCATCAGCAATTCGACGCGTCGAAAAATTCCAGTAGCTTCAAACATCGCACATTTTGGAGGCTCGACGCGTCGAGATCGCGGAGAGACGTTAATTTGGAAGACTCCTAAATTGATGCCATCGGGTTTCTACTATAAAAAAGATCATCTTCTATCAACCCTAGTGCCTCTTCTCACCTGCGAGTTGCAAATCCATGTTGAGCGTCGCGACTGCCCAATGGGTTTTGTGTTCTAACTCCACGGGCAAGTGACAAGGTTTCCCATAAACAAGTCTGAAAGGTGAAGTTCCAATAGGATTCTTGAAAGCGGTCCTATACGCCCACAATGCATCATCAAGCTTTGTGGACCAATCTTTTCGAGACGGATTGACCACCTTCTCAAGAATGGACTTGATTTCTCGGTTTGACAGTTCCACTTGACCATTGGCTTGGGGATGGTATGGTGTAGAGAGTCTGTGATGAATTCCATACTTCTCAAGAACTTTCCCCAACGCTTTGTTGCAAAAATGTGTCCCATTATCAGTGATCAAAGCTCTTGGTACCCCAAACCTTGCAAAAATATTCTTCTTGATGAACTTGATGACAACCTTGGAATCATTAGTAGGACAAGCAATGGCTTCAACCCATTTGGAGACATAGTCCACTGCCACTAGGATGTATTCATTACCAAAAGACTTGGGGAATGGACCCATGAAATCCAAACCCCAGACATCAAATAGTTCCACTTCAAGAATACTTTGTTGAAGCATCTCGTTTCTCCTTCCCACTGTGCCCACTCTTTGGCACTTATCACAACGAGCTACGAAAGAATGTGAATCTTTGAATATACTGGGCCAATAAAATCCTGACTGCAAAACCTTTTGCGCGGTTCGAGAAGGTCCAAAATGCCCTCCATAAGGTGATGAATGACAATGCTTTAAGACACTTTCTACCTCGTCTTCGGGCAAGCATCTTCTTAATATTCCATCTGCACATCTCTTGTATAGAAACGGTTCATCCCAAAGATAGAATTTTGCATCAGTTTGTAGTTTCTTCTTCAATGACCTAGAAGCATTTGGTGGAAATTGTTGGCAAACCACATAATTTACCAAATCTGAATACCAGGGCATAAAAGCACGAAGAGCCATCAGTTGCTCTCCCACGAAGTAATCATTGATTGGAATCTTTTCTCCTTCAGCCACTTCGTTTTGGTTCTCTAATCGGGACAAATGATCAGCTACAAGATTTCCTGTTCCCTTTTTGTCTATGATTTCCAAGTCAAACTCTTGAAGCAGAAGGGTCCACCTCATCAGTCTTGGCTTGGATTCCTTTTTGCTCATCAAGTACTTCAATGCTGAGTGATCGGTATGGACAAAGACCTTGTATCCGTTCAGGTAGGATCGAAATTTATCAACAGCAAAAATCACAGCCAGCATCTCCTTTTCTGTTGTGGCATAATTAACCTGAGCCGCATCAAGAGTACGGCTTGCATAGTAAATTGGGTGTAGGCACTTGCCCTTCTTTTGACAAAGGACGGCCCCTACAACATAGTCACTAGCATCGCACATAATCTCAAATGGTAAGTTCCAATCTGGCGGTGACATTATGGGAGCTGTTGTCAATGCCTTCTTCAATCTGCAGAAAGCTTCAAAGGCAAGCATCATAAAAAACAAAGTTAGCATCTTTTAAAAGCAATTGAGTTAAAGGTTTAGAGATTTTGGAAAAGTCTTTGATAAATCTCCGGTAGAACCCTGCATGGCCAAGGAAACTCCTTATTCCCTTTACTGAAACAGGTGGTGGCAATTTCTCTATGACTTCCACCTTGGCCGGGTCAACTTCAATGCCTTTTTCTGATATCTTGTGTCCAAGAACAATCCCTTGTTGTACCATAAAGTGACATTTTTCCCAATTTAGAACAAGGTTTGCTTCTTGACACTTTCTTAATGCCTCATCCAAATTATCAAGACAATTATCAAAAGAAGAACCATATACAGAAAAATCATCCATGAAAACTTCCATAGTCTTCTCAACTAAATCGGAAAAAATGGCTAACATGCACCTTTGAAATGTAGCTGGTGCATTACATAACCCAAATGACATCCTTCGATATGCAAAGGTGCCATAGGGGCATGTAAACGTAGTCATCTCTTGGTCATCAGGGTGGATTGGGATCTGAAAGAACCCCGAAAAACCATCAAGAAAGCAAAAGTAAGAGTACTTAGCCATCCTTTCAATCAACTGATCAACAAACGGAAGAGGAAAATGATCCTTCCTGGTGGCATCGTTCAACTTTCTGTAGTCCGTACACATCCTCCACCCAGTGACTAACCTGGTAGGAATGAGCTCATTTTTCTCATTGCGGACTACAGTTGTCCCCCCTTTCTTTGGGACCACGTGAATAGGGCTGACCCACTTACTGTCAGGAACAGGATAAATGATGCCAGCCTTCAACAATTTTAGGATCTCTTTCTTCACAACCTCCTGCATCGTAGGATTTAACCTACGTTGGTGCTCAACACTGGGTCTACGCCCATCCTCTAAGTTAATCCTGTGCATGCAGTAGGAAGCACTAATTCCAACAATATCATCAGTAGTGTATCCAATGATTCTCTTATGTTTTCTTAACACATTTAATAATTTTTCCGTTTCATCATCTTTCAAATGAGCACTTACAATCACTGGGTAAGTAGAATTTGGACCAAGATAAGCATACCTCAAGTTTGTTGGTAAATGTTTTAATTCTACCTGTGGTGGTTCCTTTTCCTCGAGGTTACAGGCAAGGAATATTAGTGGCAATTCCTATGATTCCTCATCATTCGTACCATCCTCCAAGCATTCACTCTTTGTAGAATCTTCACCTTCGAGTTGTAAAGGGTCATTGGAGATCCATTTACCCCTCTCATAAGTTGCAACACATGAGTCGATTTCGTCTACATAAAAGCAAGAATCAAGACAAGAAGATTTGTTAGCCAATTCAAAAACATTAAATTCAACTTTATCTTCTCCAATCTCAAGAACTAAGGTTCCTTTTTTGACATTGATTATAGCCCCAGCGGTTGCCAAGAATGGTCTCCCAAGGATAATAGGAATTTTAGCATCTTCTTCCATCTCTAAAACCACGAAGTCTCCCAGAATGTAAAATTTGTCAATCTTCACTGGCACATCCTCCAGAATTCCGATAGGATATTTCACTGATCTGTCTGCCAACTGAAGAGTTATGGATGTAGGTTTCGGCTCTCCAAGTTGCAGCTTTTGACACAAAGAATAAGGCATCAAACTCACACTTGCCCCTAAATCGCATAAAGCTTTTTGAACAAGTGATCCTCCAATAACACAAGGGATAGAGAAACTCCCAGGATCCCTAAGTTTTGGAGGGAGCTTGTTTTGAATTAAAGCACTACATTCTTCACTTACTGCTACTATCTCACGATTCTCAGCTCTCCTCTTGTTGGATAAAATCTCTTTCAAAAACTTAGCATATGAGGGAATCTCGGTCACTGCATCAATAAAAGGAATGGTGATATCCAGTTGCTTGATCAAACTGTAGAAGTTTGATCTTCTTTCCTCTTCCCTAGATTTCTGGAATTTTTGTGGGAAGGGTAGAGGTGGTGTATGCTTCTTTACGGGTTCAATTTCTTGTATCTCATCTTCCTTATCTTGAGCAATAACACCCTCATTCACTTTCTCATTTTCACCTTCTAGATTCTTCCTGACAACTTGTTCCCCATTCGGATACGGTGGGTCCAATAATTGCTTCCCACTCCTAGTGGTGACGGCGTTCATGTGTTCTCTTGGTTGTTCGGGCATAGCTGGCAACTTACCTGTGACTTTAGTACTTGATATAGATGGTTGATTTGCTAGCTGATTTTCAACCATATTTTGGCGAGTATCCATCCGATCCAACCTTTCTGTAATCTCTAACTGACCTTTAACCATTTTTTCCAACAATAATTCCATATTCGACGGGACCGGTGTTTCCACATTAGGCTTGGACTGATTTACTGGAACTTGATATCCTTGGTTCTGCCTGAATTGTGGTGGATGATTTCCTCTAAAATTTTGCTGCCCCTGAAATCCTGGTGGTTGACTTCTACTATTTAAGTACTGGGGATTAGCCGCCCCAGCTGGATTACCCCAAGAGAAACCAGGATGATTCCTCGATGCATTTGGATTGTAGGTTCCTCGTTGTTGGAATGCCGGTTGTATACTACCATAGCCCACCACATCAACTTGTTCCATTGTAGCTTGAGAATCAACACTGAGACACTCCTCTGAATTGTGCTCTCCTCCACACAACTCACACATCATTACATGTCTTGGAGGAGTAGAAGCTTTAGAAACATTACCTGAAGCTTGATTCTTGATAGTAATCTGGGCCAACTATTGAACTAAAGTGGCTACATTGTCAAACTTAGCCGATAGAGCGGATATCTGATCAACTTCAGTCACGCCTCCTATCAACTTCTGGGGAGATCTCTCTGAATACCAAGTCGTCCCATTCATCGCAACCTTTTCCAACAATTCTTCAGCTTGATCTGGCTCTAGGATTGTAAATGATCCTCCCGATGAAGCATCGACTAGGATTTTTGAATTGTCCAGTAATCCCTCATAGAAAGCCATCATTAAATCCCAATTCTGAATACCGTGATGAGGACATTGTATCCTCATCTCTTTGAATCTCTCCCATGACTCTGCCAAAGACTCACCAGTTAACTGTCTAAAATTCTGAATAGATCTCCTCATTTTCTGAGTCTTAGATATGGGAAAAAATCTCTTAAGGAACTCTCTGTGCAACTAGTCCCAAGTTTCAAAATAGTTCGCCGGATAAGAGGCAAGCCAACTGTTAGCTTTATCCCTTACAGTGAATGGAAAGAGGCGAAGCTTGATAGCATCTCCCGGGACTCCATTAATTTTGAAAGTGCTGCAAATCCTCAGAAATTTTGCAATGTGAGCATTAGGGTCTTCTATTGGTGACCCACCAAAAGGATCCGAAGCAGCCATCTGAATTATAGCCGATTTTATTTCAAAATTATTAGCATCAACCCCTGGCACATTGATACTTCCATGTCCTGCTGCATCTGGAGCAACGTAATCTGAAATGGGCCTCCCAATGCGTAGTGGCTGATTGACTCCCTCTCCACCGAGAGCCGGATTGTTCTGATTTCCATTGTTCGCCATCCTAACCTGTTTTCTTAAGAACTTGGCTCGCTTTTCGATCTCTGGGTTAAAAGGTTCTAATCCTTCGTTCCCTGAAGAGCGAGTTCGCATATAACACCAAGTCCGCTGATAACAGAAACACAGCTCAACACAAGAAACTCGTTATCGATTAGCGAAAATAAAAATGAATTAAAATAAAAGAAAAGAAAATTAAAAAAAAAGACTAGACTCCGAAAATAAAACTTTCACTAATATTAGTACGTAGCGCCACCTCCCCGGCAACGGCGCCAATTTGATGCGTAGTATATTTGCAAACAAATAATACCCGGAGTATTCGGATTGTCGAACCACAGGGAGATGGGGTACTAATCCCTAATTACTCGTTTACTTATAAGAGCTAGTCTGATCGAAACTTGATGGTTGATTGGTTGCATAAAATAACGAGCAAGAAATAAAACAAATATTAAGGTTTCGTAAACAATAGAGCAAAATGGGATTCTTGGGATCACAATGTTTAATCACCTAGTGCCAATTAACGTTTGTAATATTTGGTTTGGAATTAAGATCTGTGTGGGAATGCAAAGTGGAATCGAATTACTCCCGTAATCTCTATTCCTAGTGAATTTCCACTCCCGTGGCTTAAACACCCGATAAGATCGAAGATCAGCATTCAATTATTCCTAATTACTACCATCTCCCGATGAGCAACAATCTAGAATTAACTTCCCCTAATAAATTCCCCTTTCCAAGGTCTAACTATTAGGTGCAATCGTGTGTGCCCTAATTTATGCCCCAATTCCCATTGGTGACACAAATATGACTATGAAGCTAGTAATTTAGGCCTTTAATTACCAACAACAACAGGTTAAGACAAGATTGCAACACAAATCATAAAAACCAAACATAAATATATTAAGAAATTAACGAACAAGGCACATAGGTTCATAAACAAATTCACCCAAAAATCCCTAAGGAATTTAGCCGCTCATGGCCATAATAACAGTAAATTCAATGCTTAAAGATAAACAAATAACAACGAGAATAAGAGTAAGAGTGAAAGAGTTCTCCCGAATCTTTCTAGCTAGTTCTCTATTCCAAAGCTAGTTGTAAATCTTCAAATTGGTCCCCTTTGTGCTTTGCTCTTGATTGCCTTCAAAACACCGAAATCGCAGAAGAAGAGGCACTAGGGTTGATAGAAGATGATCTTTTTATAGTAGAAACCCGATGGCATCAATTTAGGAGTCTTCCAAATTAACGTCTCTCCGCGATCTCGACGCGTCGAGATCATGCTCGACGCGTCGAGCCTCCAAAATGTGCGATGTTTGAAGCTACTGGAATTTTTCGACGCGTCGAATTGCTGATGCTTCGACTTCTTCCTCTTTTGATCATTTCGTGCTTGAAATTCTTCCCTTGCTCTCACGCTCACCCTGTAATGGTGAAGAAAAACACTACCGAACACCGTAAGGTATTCAAAACAAGTGTAAAAACATAATCTAACGAGAAAGCAAGGAAAACAAGTAATAAATGGTCATGATTCAATAACTTTGTTTCTAAAATGAATCAGAAAAGCTATAAAAACATGCACATACACAGGACCAAATGTCGGTGCGCATAAAGAAATGAAGAATCTACCCACTTCAGACATAATTCTACACTGCCATCGCCGAGATTCGAACCTTGGTCTCTTATCCATTTTCAATTTGTCATATCGACATTATATTCAACTCACAGTTTTAATTTCATTCTATCACATTGAAGAAATAAGGTTACTTCATAGCTGCTTCGTTTGTTGAATAATATTGAAATTAATTTCATTTTTGGTCCTATGACTTTTGAGACACAATTTTAAATATTTTTAGTTTTGGTGCCTACCTTTGTTATTTTTATCAGTGTCGGTCCTTCCAACCAAATTCACCGTAAAATATTGTCGGATTTTATATCTTAAGAGCAAAATAGTCATCTCAAAAAAAGATCTTCAATATTTAAACAAAAGAAAAAATCATATTAAGGAAAAAAAAGGTTTGTCAATCGTCAAACTATAAACTCCATAGATTTGTGTATAGTTTCTGTCCGTCTTCTCAATTATTCTCATCGATCAAACACATATAAATATGATTTTCAATGATTTTGTTTAGATATTGAAGATATTTTCTTGGAATGACGATTTTATTCTTAAAATTATAAAATTCAACAACAAAATTATGCACTAAAATTGAAAAATTTTAAGGTTATCTACCAAAAGTGATACTGAGTATAACCATATAAGTCTAGGATCAATGTGAAATTAATTCAATAATAGTGTGGAAAAACGACTCCCGCGGGGGTTGACTAGTTGGAAATGAAACATAGCATGTATTCCGAATCTCCATATTTTTATTGCTCAACTCATGCATCAACTATCTCCTAAATAAGATCATACTACTAACTCTATCATTAAAAAAAATCAAATCAAAATTAGACAGTTGGAAATGATATGAGGTTGGAAAATAGCATTCAAATAAGTAGTCTAGAATTTACATTAGGATGTGCCCAATTATCATTGTAGAAAATGTAATTAATACTAATATTATTGTGCAATTTTAGTAGTAAAATTGTCACTAAGTTGATGATAGTCAAGTTGACTTCTGTTCTCCCTAGATTGTTGTCTCCTCACCAAAGTGGTTTCATCTCGGGGCGTTCAATCACTGATAATATTTTACTTGCCTCTGAGATGTGCCATGGTATAACGCTAGGCAATCAGGATGTAGTGCTGAAGCTAGACATGGCTAAGGCATATGATCGGGTTTCCTGGTTTTTCCTGGTTTCTGTGATGCGTAGGATAGGTTTTTTTGAAGTCTGGATTGACTTGGTCTATCGTGCGGTCTCAAATGTCTGGTACTCTGTCATTGTCAATGGGGTCAAAGAGGGTTTCATTACCTCCTCCCGTGGGTTGAGGCAGGGGGACCCGCTATCCCCTAGTCTTTTTATCATTGCTGCAGAGGTCCTTTCTAAAGTGGACTAGAATGACACTACTAAATGCCTATATATGCCACTCTCATGGACATTAGACTCACAATTAGCTTTAAGCCCCATTCTCAAGGTGACTCAAACCAATTGGAACGATTTGATCATCAAACATGTGACACTCACGTCTCCTTCCAACTCTCTTTTCTCAAAGCAAAAATGGACTAGCTAGTGAGAGGTGTAGCTATACTCTCATAGTGACAACACATTATCTTTGTACCCAAATTATGCATGAGTCCATATAAACCACCAAGCTCACAACTAGAACGAGTCATTACACTATATAACATTACAATTCAAATCACATAACATCCATAACAAAGAGCTCAATCCAAATCCCCAAAGGAATATAGCTACTCATACTTGAAATGGAAATGAAAGCATGAATTGGAATATGAAAAATTTGCAATAACAATTCAATTAAAGAAAATGAAATTGGTAACAAAGATAGTATATGTAATTGGTATACTAATAATAAACTTAATATTACAAATAATTAATTTGTAAATAAATTCAATCAAACGAATAGGCACATGGGACCAATGAAGTATCACTCATTAGAGAGGAGTGGAAAAGTTTGAATTTGGTTCTGCGAAATTTCACTCGTGTCATTTTCAAACTGTGGTATGGACAATATATAATTAATTATATTCCACAAGTGTATGGAAAAAAATCTAGCGTTGCCTCATGACTACTGACTTTGAAGTCTTCCAGCTGCCTCCCAAGACCAATCTTCAATCCACATTTCCATTATTATATTCTCATCAAAAACTGAAACCCAAAAAATAAATTCCAGAAATTATTTCCAATTTTCAAACACACCATAAAGTCTAAAACGCATAAGTCAAATCCGGCCAGCTAGCGTAAAGGAGTGGGTTGACAAGTACTAGCAACTAGCAAGGGAGATAAAAGAAGAAGTAACGTTGTTACTTCATACATACATACATAGCTTCTTCCGATCGAATGTCCATATATTTTTGCTCCATCATATCAATTATCATCATCAACTCCGATCCTCTGATCACTGAATAAACACGTACCATCGTCTATCATTTTAACAAATCAAAATTACATGGAGATGAGAGTATATTTGTTGGTATGATGCATCCTCCGATTGGACGCTTTGTGTTAGCCTACTACTACATCCTCTGCTTCTGCTTCTGCTTCTTCTTCATCGGAACTACCTCCCAACCTCTCGGACACATTTGTCCCAACAACTCTACTTATGCTCCTAACACCTCTACTTATCAGGCCAATCTTAATTCTCTTCTATCCACTCTTTCTTCCAACGCCAACCGTGACGATGGTTTCTACAAATTCACCGCCGGCAGTGATCGAGACACCACCGTGTACGGCGTGTTCATGTGTCGCGGTGATATTTCAACCCGCGACTGCGAGGTGTGTGTGAAAGATGCTAGCGCATATATATTGCAGATATGCCCCAAACAAAAGACTGCTATTATCTGGTACGATTTCTGTATGTTGCGTTACTCGGACAAGTCTATGTTCGGGAGAGCCGACCAATCGGTCTGGTTAAATTTGTTGAATAAACAGAACGCTTCTGACCAAACTAAGCTCACGTGGGTGGCCGGAATGGCATTTGGTCAGCTGACTACTCGAGCGGCCGCCGGCGATCGATCCGGCAAGAAATTTGCTACTCAAGAAACTGACTTCGATGAATTTAATAGAATCTACTGTCTTGGCCAATGCACGCCAGATCTTTCCGATTCTGATTGTCAGACATGCCTGCGAAGTGCTATCGAAAAACTATATGCATCATATGGTGGCATAGTACTATCCCCAAGCTGTAATGTTAGGTTTGAGGGGTACCCTTTCTACCATAGCACAGCCGCCTCTGCGCCACCACTCATTCCCGCTCCTCCACCCAACACGTCTCCCACTCCTGGTAAAGCTTTCTTGGAAACTAAGCTTCATTTATAATAATTTATCTGTAAGTCTATTAGCATCAAATAACCTGCATCCTCTGAGATTATTTTTTGAGAATACAGCTACCCGAAGTTGTGCAGTCGCCTTGTGACCCTAGTAGGGAAAGGATAAATCATCTTAAGTTGTTTATAGCGGGCTGACTCAAACATTACTGGAAATTATGAAATTTTTGACCACTTGAAAGTAATCTTAAATCAAGTCAAAAGCCTTGTTCCGACCACTTTTGGTATCGGGGAAAACCTTTTATTGTTATTTCCGACCACTTTTTGCTTTCAATTTGATTTAAGATCACTTTCAGGTGGTCGGAAATTCCATAATTTCCAGCAGTGAAATTAAGACAGCCAATAGACTGTCACGGGGGAGTCGAACTTGGAAACTACTTATGGTTACGACATCAACTGTCAAACCAACTTGGTTGGTTGCCCCTACTAAACTATTTATCTTTCCAGCTTGATTCAGTGTTTGAGTGTTTTCCATCTTTTAGCATTAACCAGTAGCAAGTTTATGTTAAGGTTGTGGAGCCATCCTTCTAACTCTAATTGAAAATTCTCAATATATATGCATGGTAGCTGTATTTCTTGATGCAGGAAACAATGGAAGTTCTTCAAAAGTGATTATTGCCATTGTAGTTCCAGCTGTTGGAATTACACTCTTCATTTCAATCTTCTGTTTTCTAAGAATTAGAAATGTTAAGAAACGAAATACCACAACACACACAACAGGTAAAGTACCAGATTGATTGGAATCTATGTTTCTCTACACTTGTTTGTGTTACAATATTTGCCACTCGAATTTTTGCAACCTATCTTTCGTATAGATGTCATTGGAGTTTCAGCAGAGGAGTCCTCGCAATATGATTTTGCTACTGTTCAAGCTATTACAAATGATTTCTCTCCTGAAAGTAAAATTGGCGAAGGTGGATATGGTCCTGTATATATGGTAAAGTCGTCTTTTGACTCCATCCATATATATATGCTCATTTTTAGCCCATTCTAATTGTTTTTTGATAACTAATACTCAGGGAATGCTTCCCAGTGGACAAGAAGTAGCTGTAAAACGGCTTTCAAGAAGCTCAGGACAAGGAGCTCAAGAGTTCAAAAATGAGGTTGAAGTAGTTGTCAAGCTTCAACACAGAAATTTAGTAAGGTTACTAGGATTTTGCACGGAAGGAGAAGAAAAGATACTTATATATGAATTTGTGCCCAACAAAAGTCTTGACTACTTTTTATTTGGTTAGTTTCAAACCTCAAAGTTTTCATATTTCCTTTGTACTAAACTTGAATGGTCATTCCCCAACACTCGGTGTAATTTGAGATTTTGATATATCTAGATCCTGATAAACAATATCTATTGGAGTGGTCAAGGCGATTCAAAATTATAAGAGGAATTGCGCGAGGTCTACTCTATCTTCATGAAGATTCTCGTCTTAGAATCATTCATCGTGATCTCAAAGCAAGTAATATACTATTGGATGCAAATATGGATCCAAAAATAGCTGATTTTGGCATGGCAAGAATTTGTGGAATTGATCAAACTCAAGGAAGTACAAACAGAATAGTCGGAACATAGTAAGTTATGCATCTTAGCCATCCACATACATATTTGCATTCCTAGTTGACATCAACATTTACATTTAGGTGTGTTCAATTCATCATTGCATAAAATGTCATCTAATCTAAACTATAATAAAGCTATATGGTTTGGGAAGTAATTAATGTTAAAATTAATGTTACTTCTCAAACCATATAGTTAAGATTAATGTTACAATTAATTACCAACATTATTATTATTACTAGCTATAAATATAAAATAGCCACAACATCATTTACTATTAAAAAAAAAAAAAGTACAACATTTGAAAAATAAAATAGCTATTTTTTTCTCGCCTATAACAAAGGATTACATTTATTGAATTAATGAAGTTATTAAATGTTATGATATTAGGATTAAGGATTCTGATTCCTGATTAATAGAAAATATGAAACGATGCAATATCAATTAAATCTCTGGCTTTATAATGAAAGTTTATTTGATATGCTTTTGTTATTTATGGTGCTTCTTGGGATTACAATATTAATTAAATTTTTGATGAAAGCCTATTCAATACCTGAAACAGTGCAATTAATGCAAGCCTCTACATATAATTTTTCTCCCTCTCAAATGCTTCAAAGAAATGGCAGAAGCGAGAAGGGAAGAAGAAAGCTAAAGATGCGGGCCGTGGGTCAATTATTGGACTTCAGAATTAAAAAAAAAAAAAAAATTCATTTGAGCCATAAATAAAAATTTAAATATATATAAATGTATATATCGTATGAGTCTTTAATGTTTTTCTGGATTTCTAAACTTAGGACTTTCAAAAGAAAAAAAATGCATTTGAATTATCTCTACAAAAAGTGGTCTTGGACTTATAGAATGACATTTGGGTTTATGGAATGACATGTGCATAAAGAATATATTATATAATCATTTAAAAAAAAATGTGTTCAATTAGAGTTTAAATTTACTCATACAAAATTTGAAATTTGCTTTCTAAATGTAATTATCTTAGTTATTATTCGTATTGTGAAAATTATAATATAGATGAAATACAATTAAGAATAAATTAATGTAATTATGTAAATTCTCTCTATAAGTTTATTTGAATATGACAATATGTACATAATTAGAGATTATATTAACCATACAAAATTTTAATTTTAATTTTAATTTTAATTGTAATTGTAATTTTGTATTCTATAAAAAAATAATAAATACTTTGACCAATGGAAGCTCAAAAATATTATTATATTAAACAATTTAAAATATTTTTATTTTTTCTATTTTTTTATTTATATTTATAATAACATAATTTTTTTCCCGCGCATCGCGCGGGTGATAATTATTAAATAACAAAAATTTTATATATGAATAAACCTCATATAGGGTATATTTTTATAACATATTTTTCGTGCATCGCACGGGACAAATACTAGTTATTTAAACACTACTTTAATTGTACTCTTTATACTAATTAGTTGTTGTACTAATAATTACTCTGTATATTGTTTGTAGTGGTTACATGTCCCCTGAGTATGCAATGCATGGAGAGTTCTCAATAAAGTCGGATGTTTTCAGTTTCGGTGTTTTACTTTTAGAAATTATTACCGGAAAGAAAAATCGTAACTTCTGCCAATCAAACAAGGCACAAGACCTTCTTAGCTATGTAAGTAGAAACTTCCATATTAAATACATTTATTTTATGTATGTTAAGTTTGTTTTATGATGTAAATGTTCATATATATTTGGTTGCGAGTCCATAACATATTGTGTCATCATCATGGCCAACTTATGAAGATCAAATTGATAATGTTATAGGTTTGGGAACAATGGAGGGATAGTTGGCCATTAAAAATACTAGATCCAGCTCTCGGAGAGTCCTATACTATAAATGAAGTCATCCAGTGTATACACATTGGTTTGTTATGTGTTCAAGAAGATGTAGATAAAAGACCTACAATGGCAGAAGTGATGTCGATGCTCATTAGTTATTCTGGTAATAATTGGTCAGTACCTCGTGAACCTGCATTTTATCGTGGTGGAAGTAAGAATATGTCGAAAGAGATAGAGTTGCAACAATCCGTGACTGTAAATGAAATGTCAATTTCTGAACTCTGTCCAAGATAAAAGAAGACAGACATGGAACTCAAGCTTTCAAGGTTGGAGTTTATATATGCAGAGGACAAAACAAATATGCAGAGTGCATGTATTTTTGGGGACTTATTTTCAAATTCAATTCCTAGGTACATTGATAAAGCTAGTAACATTAAGGAGATAAATAATTATATATGATGTATGAACCAAAAATATCCAATTCTTGCATGACATGAATTTTCAAAACATTGCGATTTGTTCAATTCATTATCTCAGAAATTAAAGCATCATTCTGGATAAGTGGATAGGCAACTTATTGTTGTTTTATCAGCAACGTTACAAAATATGCTAGCCGCCCACTCGGCATTGAAGGGGCGCCCAAGCGCCCGATTAATTTTTTTTTTAATTTAAACTTTCTAAACACTTTTTTTTTTTCAATTAAAAATGGCCGGTTCAGCCCGCCTAGGCGGTCTAGGCGGCCACCTAGATCACCTAGCTGCCCAGCCGCGGAAGAGGTCGATTCCGGCCTTCTTCGCCGCGGCCGGGCAACGCTTAGACGCGATTTTTGCAACATTGTTTGTTAGCTTTTTCAAGATAAAGGGGACAAACATGGTAGTGCTCAAGCATACAAGGATGAGGTTTTTCAAGGTCCTAGGTACATAAATCATGCAATTTGTCGATTGTTGGAATCAATAATTTACAAAATCACGTTAAAGTAATATTTAACATAAATTGATTAGACCGAGATTAAATCATATGTGACACTTCCTCACTTGCTCTAATTTTTTTTGAAAGGCACTTGCTCTAATTTAGTTGTACATAGTTATTGAATTATAGTTGAAACAGTTAATTTTGTAATCGATATAACATCTTTTACTCCCAATTAACATTTTCCTTTTTACTAGACAAATTTATCATTATAAGATTGAGTATAATTTTTCTCTCTACCCACTAACCCTCTCGATTTTCATGATAACCATTTTCAAATAATTGGAGATAATCAATTTATACTTCTGCCCTATAGCAATTTGCTAGCTAGCCAATAGCCACATCGGATATAATGTGTTGGTGATAATGAACCAAAATGGATTTAATATCCCAAAAATAATATTTATATATACACACACAAGTATATAAATTATTATTAGATATTTATCCGAAATATATATATATATATATATATATATATATATATATATATATATATATATATATATATATATATATATATATAAAACGGACCCAAAGGTTATATATATATATATATATGTATATCTATGAAAAAGATATATCAATATATATCAACCAATATTGGAACTAATAATCCTCAGATTGTAAGTCTAATTCAACGAATATATCAAAAGATGGAGAACGGATTTTTGCTTAGAACATAATCCAAAACAAGAAAGATGGAAAAGGAAGAAAGAATAGTACGAGTTAGGCAAAGTGTCTGTCTTTCCTTAAAACCTTATTTGTCACCTCCAAAAAGTGTTAGGAGCGTTGTGACATAGGTTTCCCAGGATAAAATGTACAACAGGTCGACGTTTGAGCACCCAAACGAACGAATCCGGTGAACAAGAGCACGGGCGAAACACAGTAGCAAGAAAGGAGTAGGAGCTGAGTTTTTCGGAGCTGAGAAAATAGAACTTTCTGTGTTGTGTGTGTGTGTGTAGTTCTTCACTACTTCACTGTGTGTAAACCTGCTGCTCCTACCCTCTTCTTATATAGGAGTTGAAGAATCAATAGCATTTAATTTGGCACTTAATAGCACGATTTGTAACACCTGAAACAGCCACCATTATTTGAGATTTAACTCAAAATTTTAAAACTGAAATTAATACAAGATTAATTCTGTAACAGTCCAGAACCAACGAAGGTTCATGTTTCATCTCGGTTACTTTCGTCCAAGGCAGCCACTTTCGGGATATGCACCAAAGTTCGTCAGTGCACACGAGACTGAACTCTCGTGTGTGCTCACGAGATTGCCCCCCCCCCCCCCCCCCCCCCCCCCCCCCTGTGCGCAAAAAAGAATCTCTATGCTATACAATTCAATAAGCTTAAAAAGAGCTCTTGTATAAATAGTAGGGCAAATCCTCTTGCTAAACCAATGTGGGACAAAACTCAAAAGCTCACTTTTTTCCCTTCATTTTCCAACTCAAATGGGTCTACTTTGAAAATCAATATCTCATTCACCCATTATCCGTTTTGAGCGTACAATATATCAATCTCTCCGTCTCACTACGAAGAACCCGAATCCACTTTGACTTGACCCAAATCGAAAGTGGACCCCACTGATAATTGTACCACAAAATAGCCACTTAATATGCCATTTTAAGCTATTTTTTCCAACATAATGTTTAGTTCTTAATTCATCAAATGCCACCCAAAACCCATCGGATAGAAGTTATGACTTTTACAGCTTATATTGTGGCATGGTTGTTGGTTCTGGAGTTACAACATCAAACGAACTCCATACTCTAGGGAAGATGCTTCAATTCCTACTTGACACGAAGTTAGTTCTCTAGGCATGCATTTCTTTGGATTCAATAATTTCACTTTTGAAATTATGTTAATAATAATTATATGGTTACTTAATGCATTCTATGATGTAGCAGGGATTATTATTTGAGAACGAAAAGAGGTGGAGAGTATAATAAAAACAATATTTGAACATATGATTTTCTCATGTTTCTCATGAATCGGTTTTTATTACTTGAAACCAAAACTAATTAACACTACTGTGCCACGAAAATGGATTGATTATTAAATAAAACTTTTGTCATAAAATCTTATTGCTTAGCTATGTTCAATTCTTATACCATGGGGTAAGGTTCACACTGCATTGTGGAGCTTGGTCTATGCGTATGCGTTTTGTATTGTAACATTTTGTCTTATATTATGAAATTTTGTATCTTAAGAGTATGAATTCTATACTTGGAACAAATTAGTAATTGTGTATCATGTTATGAATTTATGTGTTTTGTGTTGTGAAATTCTATGTCTATGAACATAAATTAAGAAAAGATTGTTGGGTATATATATATATATATAATGTATTAGTCGTAGAGAGCGTGTGAAACATATATTAATTGAATTGTAGGCTTTGTAGCTTAAGAAACGCCAAGAAAATAAATTTTTGAAAGAATTTATTCCTCAGATTCGAGGAAAAACATATTTTATGGAAAATGAATTTTTTAAAATTTGAAAAAAGTAAATTTCTTGACTCCTCAATGATTTTATTTTTCACACATTTGGGAAAAAAATCATGATTTTTAGTAGAGTTAATTTCATTTTTGTCTTATAATTATAGGAGTATTATCAATGTGAGTCCACAACTTTTAAAACTAACAATTTAGTATCCTAACTATTCAAATTTTTATCAATTTTAGTCATTATGGTCAAATTGTCGGTCAATTTTTGACCAATTGTCACCAATTTTTATCCACATCCCACTTGCCTATTTATTAATTCAAACAATGATTCACAAATTAGCTTCAATTTTAACACTAAATTAAAAGATTATGGCGACAATTGGCCGACAATTTCACCAGATTGACTAAAATTGATAAAAATTGAATAGTTAGAGTATTAAATTGTTAATTTTGAAAGTTGTAGACTCAAATTGACAACACCCCAACAGTCATAGGACCAAAAGTGAAATTAACTTTTTTTACTATTACCATCACTTATCTTTATTAGGTAGGGACATGAAACTAATATTTTAAGATCAAGCACATACTACTACGTTAACAACTATTGTAAGTAGTCAAGTCACATATGATATGTTTTGATACCAATTATCGTGATCTGTTTTGATACCAATTGTTAGGATCACGCTTATCACTATATCAAGTTATAACTAGTGTCGAATGAACAAATCCAAAATTTCATCAAATTTTTTCAGCGAATGAAATAGACTGTAATTGTGCAAGTCTTAGAAAGCGTGTCCGAATTGAATTGGTTTCTTCAACATATAGGGGGTATAATTTATTAGAGAGGAGTAAAACAGTTGAAATTTTCTTCTGCGAATATTTCAGTCGTGTCATTTTCAATTTGTCGCATCGACATAATTAATTTCGCAATTGTGTGGAAAAAACTATCGTTGACTTCTCACAGCCTCCCAACATCAATCTTCAATTCATATTTCCATATTTCCATCATTCTTATCTATTCTCCTAATTTAATTGAATACATGTATAAGTTTCTATTCTTCCTCCGTAAGTTTTGTTGGAAAAATAGCAAGAAAATAACATGGAAAGTGACTATTTTGTGGTACAAATATTAGTGAGGTCCACTTTCGATTTGGGTCGGGTCAAAGTAGAATCAGGTTCTTCGTAGTGAGACAAAGAAATTGATATATTGTACGTGTTGGGTAAATTAACAGTAATGAATACCTGGAATGGATATTTGCGACGTGTTGTTGCTTCAGGACAGGAAACCAGCAGAGTTCTGTGTCGTGTTTGGCAACACTATCTTAAAGATATTTAACAACCAGGGTATCGTTAATTCGTTATATCTTCGACTGACAGCACAGAAACAAATAAATAGATGAATCTTAGAACTTGGGGACTAGAAAGTTTTGTGTTGGAGTGGAAATCATGTTCGGCATTATCCAGTGTAAATGCATTGCTTATATACTACTGCCTAGCTTTCTTACAACCTTGTCAAAATAAGTGCCAAAATAATAGCTAATTTGTGGCAGCAAGAAAGTAGGCAATGTGAGGAAGCACTGCTAACACCACACAATTTCTCACATATTATTCAGACAATTTCTTGAGATGATCCACTAAAATAGGGATCAAGATAACAATGTCCAAACAAAACTTTCCACACCACACCTCGCGTGCAACGCACGCGGGGTTTTCCCCTTGTTCCCTCTCCATAACACTAAGTTTTCTTTAGGGAGTTCAAGAATATAAGGGAGTGAAAAGAAAGCTAGCCAAGCAATGTGGGATACTCATTTTAAGCAAATAACTATCAAACGAGTTTCCACTTGAAGCCTTGCCTTTGGATGTTTCCCAACAATCCCCCACACATTCGAAGGTGTAAGGCTTGACGGAGAGCAAATGAGTATAACAAATAAGAGCTAGCTTTCATGTCAGTGTGTTAAACTTGAACTGACAAGTAGTGGCACTAAGTAATCCACTATCCGAGAGTGAACAGAGTCTTGAACTCTTCGGCTAGTTGAATTTTGAACTTATGTGCACTTCGTTAGCTCCATTCGTTGTACACTTTGTATAGTTATTGGATAACCATGTATTCA